GCCTCTAAATAAATATTTACTGAACAAAGCATGAATCTGTCTTACATGGGAATGTCAGGCTATGCAAAAAAATCTGTAGTTTAAGTTTGTGGTCAAACAAAATACAAGAGATACAAGAATGTTCCTCTCCTAAAAATATATATACGATTCTATTCTGTAACATATTTTAGTTTCAAGAAGAAACATATGCCAAATGCATAGTTATCTCAACTCCACTTGAGAAATAAGTAATGTATGCACTGATAATTATGAATATTTTTCATTATGTTTAGAAAGGGATAAAAGACACTATTTCTAGCCAAAAAAGTATGTGTACCACACCAAAATATTCTACACTCATTTCAAAATGTCCTAAAATTAGTTATAAAAACTGATTCTAAAAAATATTTTCTTTCCAATTAGCTAAATTCAATAAAAACTATTTTTTCCAAAGGCTCAGTAAATTAAACACTGTCTTATCAAACCAATTTATGTCTGTAGATACCGCTTAAATCATTCTACTTTATATCAAGTTGTTTAAAATAGGCCTCTCATAAGAAAGTAAATAAAAGTAGATTTTAAGATCAATGGAGAGAGGCAGAGCCTTTGTCTGCATCTCCGCACTCTACCACACACATTAATGGAACGCAAATTATAATAGTAAATGTTATTTTAACAGAAGAGCTGACTTATTAACCACTTCTGTCAAAGTACCATATATGGACTCTCATAACCATGCTACTTATTTAAGACACAAGGTAGACAGCCAAAATGCTCGCCCACATGGAAGAAAAGGAAAATATCATTACGGCTCTCTGAACATTAAAGACTTGTTTCAAGCCTCCTCTTAAAAAAAAAAAAAAAAAAAAAACCTTGGTAAGAGCTTTATTATCTGAAGACAAAAGCAAGGCTCAAAATTCACTTAAGTGCTCAACTTGGGGCTCCATCAGTACTTTATCCTTTTGTGGCTACAAATTTTAGAAGTAAAATACTAACAATGAACCAAAGGACAACTTTCACATATGCTGAAAACATCTGCTTAACCTTAAATGAGCAAGTAGTTTTTCATAAACTGTGTAGAAATAATTTTGAGAGCTGCCACTATATGTCTAATAAACAACTTTAGTTTTATGTTTGAGAACAAAAATTTCTACAATAGTTTTTTTTTATGGGAATGAGAATACACACAGATAAAAAGAGAACTGTCTTTAGTAATTTTTTAAAAAACTTTTTATTTTGTATTGGAATATAGCTGATTAACAACATTGTAACAGTTTCAGGTGGACAGCAAAGGGACTCAGCCATACATACACATGTATCTATTCACCCAGTTAGAAAACTGAAAAGGACTTTAAATTTTCTTAGATTTTTAGCTGGGGATGTATTCTAAAATGATCATAATTAATACATAGTAGTATTCTGGTTCCTCACGATAAACAACAAAAAATTTCCTTCACAAATATTCTCCCTTCTGAGAGCAAAGGAAAAGAACAACATTAAACCAAAACATAATGCTAAAATACAAGGGATTTAAATAGTTTAAAAAGAAACTATATCTTTATTTGAAAACATCTCTAGAATAACTTCCTGGACAACATGAACATGATTTCTTGCATAAAAGTAACAGCACTGAGATTAAATATATTAAAAAGATGATGACACAGACTCTGAAATGCTAAATTCTTACTTCCATATAGAAATAGTTTCTTCTGCAGAAGCAATAAATTATAAACATAAAATGTTCTTAGGCTGTTGGTTTCCGATTTGTGTAGGATAGATAATTTTGAAAACGGGAGCAGAATGAGCATCATAAATAAATTCAACTGTGGTATGAAAAATGTTCTAATTGGCCAAACCCAGTGTCAGTATCTTGCATCCATTAGACAGAAAGTCTGAACTTAATTTCTGTTTTAAGTTTCTCTTCAGGAATACAGGTTAAAATATGCATTCTAGAATAGTAAAGGAAGGGCCTGATCTTTTTGCTTTTCAACAGAGGAAACAAAGATCTACATATAATGTCATACTTTATAACTGAAATGGAAGAAAATGTATGCTAGAAAACTAGTACTAGTTGGATAAACAGGATGATTGATAATTTTTCTCACCCTGAACTATAATTTTTTTCAAAGTTGCTATTTCAAATCAATAACAAAGTTACAGAAAATAGGCTTTAGAGTGCTTCAAGTAAACAAATCCGTAATTTCTAGTAAAAAAGGAAAACCTATTAAAACACTCCAATACACACTACACCCTCCAGTGGGCAAGCATCCATGGAAAAATATAAAAAGATTTAGTTGGATTTTCCACTCAGTTAAATCAGTCCTATAACTAATAAAATGATGGTTCTAAAAACCTCATAAAAGTTCACACTATTTTAATCACTTGTCTTAGTATCTGAGTTAGAAAAAGCAAAGATTTTTTAAAAGTAACAATTTAGATGTTATAGAGGAGTAACATTAAGAAAATAAAATCATGCTCTGCTTATCTTTCCTTGAAATACAAAGTGCTATCAAATTCTTAACTTCTTTAACTTACAAAAGAAAAAAGGTAAACAGATTAAATCACATATAAAGATGTATAATTAAAGATAAAAGTATTCTTTATACTATGAGCTGCAAAGGCAGCACTAATATTTTAAAGCAAAATCCAAAAATTATGGTTCCTTAGCGAGAACTGTGGCAGAGAAACAGTATGTTCATTAAGTTTTTCAGGAAAACAACTTACATTATCACCTGGTAATATTTATTATTATTGGTCTCATGAGGCTATGTGGTCACTACACAGAAATATAAACACACTTAGAGACTATTTAAAAGAGCCCTTATTCTATATGGCTAATGTTTCATGACTTAAATGATATAATAAAAGCAAAGACAAGATTTAAAGTATTCTACAATGGTCCAAATATTCTTTAATGTTTCTATAATTTACAAATACAAACATATATTTAACACATACCTAGAAATCAGACATGAAGACTACAGTTTCTAAAATGCATTAAATAATTTTTTAATACACTCTTGAAAAAACTAGTGCAACTAGGACTGCTTGAGGTATTCAACTTAATCTCTAAGGTTAGGAGAACAGCAATTAAAGGACAACAGTGACATCTAGTGGACCTTATAAATATATACCATACGTATCTTGGACCAAACCCTTTCCTTCCTAATGTTTCCCTTATTTCAACCTGTCTGACAACCTTTATGACAAATCTTTAGTTCTAAATCAAAACAAGCTGACTCTGCTCCCAAAGGCTTCTCAATATGAGTGACCCAATCATGTGATAAATATAAAATGTTTAATAATTGAAATATAAGAAGTAAATATCTCAAGGCTTTAAGCATTAACTAAATGTATCAAATACATGACTAATTGACTAATAAAAGTCTAGCAAATGGTCCAATATGACTATGATAATAAAATTTTTAATGATTCTGAATGAAAAAAGTAAAAGTTGAAAAAAATGTAAATGAAGAAAATTCAGAGCTGATCTCTTTATGAATTTATTCAAGCACAGGAAATACAAATTAACCAGCATGGTCTGTCAGGAGAAAATAAGAGATGCTTTTAAACTAGAATAAGACTCTCTCTTTTATGGAAATCTTTCAAAACCAAATTAGTTCTTGAGGAAATTTACAGAAATACTCTTCAAAAATAAAGGAAGATAACTCTGGAAGAAGACCAAGTATTCGTCTCAAAAAGCAATGAATTTATTTCAAAGAAGATCAAACAACAGTAATACCTGTGGACAATATACTTCCTTATTATTTGTTAATGTATAAGCAAATTTCACAACAGGAAAACACGCACTTAATGAGAAAACAATGAAAGTACATATGATTTTTATTAAGTATTCTACTACTAACTCAGGGAAGAAATATAAACGTAGATAGATCTAAATTATAAACACCAAGTCAGAGTCCAGGCCACAATTTAACTCAAAGTCTTTCAAAAATTATAGGTCCTAGATTTCTCAGAGCCACCTAATTTAAAAGATTTTAATGACTATTTGAGCTCAAAGATTTTCTGAAAAGAAAAAATGCAAATAAGGGTCACGATTTTCCCCCATTTCAAAATCATTGAAAATATCTCTGGAATGTAAATATTTGGGGATTAATAAAATTCAGGTCACAAAAGCACGGTCCTATTGGCTTCAGAAAGTTGTCAGAAGATAAATAAATTGTAGTTTATTCAAACAATGAATTACAACTCAGGAATCCAAAAAATGAAGTACCAATACATGCAACAACATTGATGAATCTCAAAAAAATTAGGCTGAGCGGAAGAACCTTTACATAAACGTATACTCTGTCTGATTCCCTTTATAAGACATTCTAGAACAGGCAAAACTGATCTGTGGTATGAATGAATGAATGAATAAACAAAATCACAACAGTTACCACTGAGGGTAAGACAGATATGGGGACTGACTAGAAAGAAATATGAGGTAATTTTCTGGGTAATGGAAAGTTCTGTATCGTAACAGGAGTTGGGGCTATACAGATGTATTATACATTTGTCAAAACTCACCAAATAATGTAATTGAGATCTGTGCAAAACTTACATAAATTTTACCTTGAAAAATGAAACTTTAGAAATATTAGCAATTCTATCATATACCATATTTGGGGTGAAATGTAGAAATATCTACAACCTATTTTGAAATGCACATAAAAATGAGATAATGAACAGATTATAATAAAGCAAATACAGCAAAACACTAACAACTGTATAGTCTAGAATATGAGTATGAAGTTGGAGTTGGAGTTTACTGTTTAGTTCTTTCAGCTTTTCTGTATATCTAAAATTTTCCATAATAAAATACTGGAGAAAAAAATACAGATAACAATCAGAATTCAGAAGAAAATTAAAAATATGAAAAATATAAAGTGTTTTCTAAAATATTAACACGTTCCCTTTTTTTAAATTAACATTTTAATCTGTTTAATGTCAAAAGTGACCATCTTTTAAAACAGCAAATGTTACTGGACAAAATATTTTAAAAAATTTTAAAGACATACCCGAATTTCTTGAAGGTTGTGAAAATTATTTCCTACTCTGACTGAGATCTTGCTTGGAGTGTAGCTTTCATCAGATTTGTAATCTGCATAAATACATAATGTCTTCACTGTTGTTTTTCTTCTAAAAGCAATAAAGTAAAAACATGCTTTTATCATGTGGAAAGATTATATCCCAAACATCTTATCTTCTGATTTTAAAAGTCATATTTTGCTAAAATTAGTATTTGGATCAATGATTTCCATGTTCTTTAACAATCATAAAAATGAAGAACATGTGAAAAAACATATACACGTTACTTTTACAGACATCTCTCACCTAGAAAAAGGTCAAGAGCAAGATGCTAAAGAAGGACCAGTTAAGCAAAGTAGGTACCTTAGAGTGCAAATAAGCACTGAGAGTTTCAGTTCTCTTCACTTGTGTTTTAGACAAAGAAAATTATCCTAACAAGCTTGGTTTTCTTTTCTAGTTAGTAATTACTTAATTTCCTATGTTAATACTTGAAAATAACTAGCTAAGGGAGAAACTAAGTCTAGCAAAGAGAAAAATGTTTAAAAACTAGAAAGTATAATCTTATTACTTAGTGCAAGAAATAAAACTCTACTCTTTTAAAATATACATCTTAGAAAAATAAGTAAAGACTATGTAAAAAAAATCTCAGAACAGCTAGTGGCCAAAAAAAAAAAAAAAGAAATTAAAATATGTTCAATCTCCAATAATCAAACAAACAGGAAATTAAAACATAGACATTGGTTTTTTTTATCATATTGAGAAATATGAAAATAACTGATAATACCCAAATATGATTAGGAAAACATACATTCATGGCCATTTAGTAGACGTAAAGTCTTTGACTCACAAAGAACTTCTAAGAATGCATTAAAAGACAACAATAACAAAACTACTATAAAACAGATAAAGAGAAATGTTTATTGTCCTGCAGTTAAGTCACTGAAAAATTATAAATAACCTAAATGTCCATCTCAATAGAGAATTAGCTAAACAAATTAAAATACACCAATTCAATGAAATATTATACAACTATTTAATATAAACATAGATATATAGTTAAAGAAGGGGGAAAAGCAGATTATAAAACGGACTGAAAAAAAGAATGTCATTTTGGGGGAAAAAAAAATTTTAAAAATCACATAAACCTACATACATACAGAAAAAGACCTATATAGAACCATACAAAAATAGTAAAAGTGAGTATTTTGATGGCATAGAGCTTATTTTCTTTTTTATGATTTCTATATTTTCTGATTAATGTTTTAAAATAAGCATGTATTATTTTGGTCACTGGGGGAAAAAACAGACAATGTAAACATCAACCAAAATAACCATTAAGAAGTCTATTTCAACATGATTTAAAAGTTAAGATCTGGTATAAACTGGCACTCACTTAATAACAATGAGCTACTTGAACAGAAGCAGTCTGTGTCAAAAGTCGGTCTATAAAAACAGCAGGAGATCTGTAGCTTAGTGAGGGGACCAAACTTCTATAGCCTAAGCTTTTCATCAGAAAGGAATGGGGAAAGTTAAGGGCTGTTCCTCAAGTAATAAAGACAGATCAAGATGTAAAATGCTAAATACTCAGGAATTGCTGACAGGATAAATGCCATTACCAGATTTTCAAAAGAGGCCAGCAGAGCGGTATCAAACAGACATCATTCTCTGTCTGCTGGGCCAGGAAGGAGACAGGAGGAGAAACACAGGAAGAAGGGGAAATTTTGAAGCGCGTACAAAAGATCTTTTCCCTGATACAAAGGTCTTTCTTATCGTGGAAAGATCAAAGATCATGAAGATGACTCTTAAGGAGTCCTTTTTCTTTCTTAACAAAAGCAGATCTAAAGGACCAAACTTTCTGCTCAGAATAATTTCATCTCTGTTATTAAATTCAGGATAACTTAGTCACTGAACCTAAAGATAATCAGAGTTAGGCTAGAAAGGCAAAGGATAATAACAACACTAATGATTATAAACAACAGCAACAGCAGAAACAGCAAGTGAACAAGTGAATATACTCTGTGTCTGGCCCAGAATCAATGTTTTATATATATTATCTCATTGACTCCTCAACCCTGTGATGTAGGAACTATTATCACCTCAATTTTACTGATTAAAGGGGGAGGAAAAAAAAAGTAACACTCAGGTTAGTAACTGGCTTAAGGTCACAAAGCTGGTAAGTAGGCAGAGTCGGAGTTCACATGTGTCTGCCTGCCTCACAGGATCTTAACTACAATCACCTTTCTATTAATTGTATTTTGGCTTATTCAGCAGTGCTGTTGACACCATTTAACAGTAGTGTGTAAATGTTTATAATTCTTTAAATTTGATCTACATCATGGGTTCTTACCCTCAGGACTATGATTTAATGGCTCAGTCATGTCCCACTCTTTGCAACCCCATGGACTGTAGCCTGCCAGGCTCCTCTGTCCATGGGGTTTCCCAGGCAAGAATATTGGAGTGGGTTGCCATTTCCTTTTCCAGGGGATCTTCCCCACCCAGGGATGGAACCTGGGTCTCCTGCACTGCAGGCAGATTCTGTACCAACTGAGCTACCAGTAAGCCAGGTCTATGTAGCCCCAGAAATCACAGGTATAACATACTATATGTGTAGTTTCATTAGATTTGCGAAGCAAACTGTGCCTCACCAAAAATTTAAAACTATTACTCCATAAAGCCTTTTAAAGTTATTTACAAATTTTATCCCGTGGTAAATTTAAAAAATAATATTGCATAGAAAATCATGCTGTTTGTCCAATGTCAACGCATGTGGGAAGGGTATATGCGTAAATTATGAGACAGTGACAGCTACTCAGATTGCTCAAATCATCATAATAATCACCGTAACTGAATGCTTACTATATGCCAGGCATCTTAGGATAAAGTACTGCAAAAAGGGAGAAGAAAGAGTGTAATACTTTCATTCTGATGACATAAGTAATCTTCCCAGCCTTTCTCTATCCCCTCACCCACTACTCTCCCCTTTCTCTGAGAAAGAGTTTGGCAGGAAGCAAATATGCACTTAGATCCTTCACATCACACATTTAATAGGGGCTGGCTCCACCCGTCTAGCACTTTCATGACTGGATGGGTAAGTCTGTTTAATTTTAGGGTTCAATATTATTGAACCCTAAATAATAGTTTGCCAGGCCTAAAATATTTACTGTCTACCCCATTACAAACAGTTTGCTGACTTCCACCCTAGAGTAAAAGGTAGTCTAGGTTCCCGGTAAAGAGGCTTAAAGTCAAGCCTAAAAAAGATCAAGTTGATTCTTTTTTTTTTAATAAAGAAACTCGGGTGGTTTTTTTTTTGCTGAGCTGGGTCTTTATTGCTGCTTGGGGTTTTCTCTAACTGCCGTGGCTTCTCTTTTGCAGAGTACAGGCTCTAGCGTGCACAGGCTTCAGGAGCTGTGGCACGTGGGCTGAGCAGCTGTGGGGCCCGGGCTCCAGAGCACAGGTTCAGTAATCGTGGTGCACAGCAGGTGGTACCTTTCCGGACCCGGGATCAAACCCCTGTCTCCTGCATCAGCAGGTGGATTCTTTACCACTAAGCCACCAGGGAAACCCCATCAACTTTATTCCTGAGTAACTGAGCTGACTGCCAGAGCAAAGTCTAATTCCCTTTAAAGAAAAATCTAACACTCAACTTGGTGAAGTTTACTATATCCAGCATCTAATCAAAAATTACTATGAAGAATCAGAAAAACATGACCCATAATGACGAAAAAGCAGTCAATTAAGGCAGCTAAAGAAAAGACAGAAATGATGGAATTAAAACATAGCAACTTAAAAAGAGAAAACATAAATATGTACCTATAGGTATATAACAAACCACCTCAAAACTTAATGACTTAAAAAATAATCTTTTTGCTTGTTTCTGAGTCTGGAATTGGGATGGGCCCAGAAGGGAAGGCTCCACACAGCTCCGGGTGTGACTATCTGACTTGACAGCTGAAGGATATGCTTCCAGGTGGCTCACCAATACAGCCGGCAAGCTGTGCTGCTTGTCAGCTGGGAGCTTAGCTGAGGACTCGGGTTTTGATTAATTTTTTTTATGGGTTTCTCTATTTCATATAGGTTTTCTCACAGCATGGTAAATGAGTACCAAGGGAAAGAATCCATTAAAGAGACAGAGAACAAGGAAGAAACTGCCTTTTATGACCAGGTCTTAGAAATAACAGTATTACCCATATTCTATTAGACAGGAAATCCACAAAGGCCTGACTAGTTTCAAGAGAGGAGACATAGATGCCATCTCTGGATTAGGAAGCAGCAAAGCTAAAGAAGAGATATGCAATGGGAAATAATAATGTGAAGTGCCAGTCGCTCAGTCGCGTCCAATTCTTTGCGATCCCATGGACTGTTTTGTCCATGGGATCCTCCAGGCAAGAATATTGGAGTGGGTTGCCATTTCCTTCTCCAGAATAATGTGAACATACTGGAAAATACTGTCTTCCTTTCCTGGAAATCACTGGGTGGGACTGCAAGATCCAACCTTCTTGTTGCTGCTTCTCTCCAAAGCTAGCTCCCACCCTTGAGCGGAATCCAAAAGTCTCCTCCCCTTAAGTGTTTTCAAGAACCTGAGAGCAAGAAGTCAAATATCATACCAATGCTCTTATCATTCATGAAATTCCAAGGGTTTAGGGAGCTGTAAGCCAGGAAGTATGAATGAAGACCAAGTATATATGAGACATCTGAATGACCAAGTATGTATTTTTCTTACAAATCACACTATTGCAATAATGGAATATTGGTAACAACTTTGGGCCAATAAATTAGATGAATTTTGAAAACTTATAAAAACTGATTCAATAAAACAGATCATCAACAAGAACCTACTATTTAGCACAATAAAAAACCTCTACTCAATATTCTGTAATAACCCATATAGGAAAAGAATCTGATAAACAATGTATATATATATATATATATATATAATTTAATCACCTAGCTGTACACAACATTGTAAATCAACTATACCCATATATAAAATAAAAATTACACTAAAAAGTAATTTTAAAACCTGCTGACAACTGAGGCATAAAAACTATATTTTTCTGGAGGGAGAAATGTATCAATGAAATGGGAGAAAAACTGGTAATTAAAATCCGTGCTATGGCAAAAAAGAAAGCTGATTCAGGCATAGAAAATAAATTAAATAATAAATTGTATGTTTAGAAAAAACAATTTCACATAAAGTTCACTGGGAACAGATAGCTTCTTCGGTGGTTAATTTTATCAAATATCTAAGCAAGTGCTGTGCTGTACTTAGTTGTTCATTCATATCCGACTCTGTGCAACCCCATGGACTGAGCCCACGAAGCATCTCTGTTCACGGGGATTCTCCAAGCAAGAATATGGGGAGTGGGTTGCCATGCCCTCCTCGAGGGATCTTCCCATCCCAGGAATCAAACCCAGGTCTCCTGCACTGCAGGCAGATTCTTTACCATCTGAACCACCAAGGAAGCCGATCTAAATAAGAAATAATAGCAATTCTATATGAATCCTAGTGAACCTGCCTGCCAATGCTGAAGACATAAGAGATGCAGGTTTGATCCCTGGGCCAGAGGAGATCCCTGGAAAAGGGTATGGCAACCCACTCCAGCATTCTTGCCTGGAAAATTCCATGGACAGAGGAGCCTGGTGGGCTGCAGTCCATGGGGTCGCACAAAGTTAGACATGACTGAGGCAACTTACTGTGCACGTAGACGAAAAAGCAACAGAAAAGAATAATGAAACTAAAAGCTGTTTATTTGAAAAGATAAACAAAATTGATAAATCCTTAGCCAAACTCATCAAGAAAAAAAGCGGAAGGGACCAAATCAATAGAATCAGAGATGAAAAAGGAAAAGTTGTAACCAACAGCACAAAATACAAAGAATTGAAAGAGACCACTATGAGCAACTAATAAAAGGGACAACCTAGAAGAACTGGACAAATTCTTAGAAAGATACAACCTCCCAAGACTGAACCAAGAAGAAATAGAAAATATGAGCAGATGAATTCCCATTACTGAAACTGAATCAGTAATTTAAAAACTCCCAACAAGTAGAAGGACCAGATGGCTGCAGAGGTGAGCCAGGAACTATGAACTTCATTTGGAGAAGAGTTAACACATCTTTCTTAAACTATTCCAAAAAACTGCAGAGGGAGAAATACTTCTAAACTCATTCTATGAGGACACCATCACTCTGATACCGAAACTGGACAAAGATACCACAAAAAAAGGAAAATTACAGGCCAATAGCACTGATGAACATAGGTGCAAAAATTTTCAATAAAATATTAGCAATCCAAAACCAACAATACAGTAAAAGGATCATACATGGGATTTATCCCAAAGATGCAAGGATATTTCAACATCCTCAAATTAATCAATGAAATACACATTAACATATTGAAGAATAAAACAATATCAACATCTTAAGAGATGTAGGAAAAGTTTTTGATAAAATTCAACATCCAGTTATGATAAAAAAAACTCTTCAGAAAGTGGGCATAGAGGGAACATACCTTAACAGAATAAAGGGCATATAAAACAAACCCACAGCTAACATCATAGTCAATGGTGAAAAACTGAAAGCATTTCCTTTAAGATCAGGAACAAGACAAGGATGCCCACTCTCAACACTTTTATTCAACATAGTTTTGGAAGTCTTAGCCACAGCAGTAAAGAGAAGAAAAAGAAATAAAAAGAATTCAAATTGGAAAAGAAGTAAAACTGTTACTGTTTGCAAATTACATGATGCTATACCTAGAAAATCCCAAAGACACTACTGAAAAACCACTACAGCTCATCAGCGAATCCAGTCAAGTTGCTGGATTCTAAGTTAATAGACAGAAATCTGTTGCATTTCTATATACTGCAATGAAATATCAGAAGAGAAATTAAGGAAATAATCTCATTTACCATCACATCAAGCAAGAATAAAATACCTAAGAATAAACCTACCTAAGGAGGCAAAAGACCTGTACTCCAAAAGCTGATCATCATAACATGGTGATGAAAAAAATTAAAGACAACACACACAGATGGAAAGATATACTGTGTTCCTGGATTGGAAGAATCATTATTGTTAAAATTACCATAACACCCAAGGCAATCTACAGATTCAATGCTATCCCTATCAAATTACCAATGGCATTTTTCAAAGAATTAGAACAAAATATTTTTAATACTTGTATGGAAACACAAAGATGCCAAATAGTCAAAACAATCTTCAGAAAGAACGGAGCTGGAAGAATGATGCTCCTTGACTTTAGACTACTACAAAGCTACAGTCATCAAAACAGTACAGTACCAGCACAGAAACAGACACATAGATCAACAAAACAGGCCAGAAAGCCCAGAAACAAATCAGTATGTGACTGTGTGCTCTGCTGAGTCACGTCAGTCATGTCCGACTCTGCGACCCTATGGACTGTAGCCCGCCAGGCGCCTCTGTCCACGGGATACTCCAGACAAGAATACTGGAGTGGGCTGCCATGCCCTCCTCCAGGGGATCTTTCTGACCCAGGGATCGAACCTGCATCTCTTGCATCTTCTGCATTGGCAGATGAGTTTTTTACCACTAGCACTACCTGGGAAGCTCTAAATCCATGCACTTATGGTCAATTAATCTGCAGCAAAGAAGGCAAGAATATACAATGGAGAAAAGATGGCCTCTTCAATATATCGTGTTGGGAAAACTGGACACCTATATGTAAAAGGATGAGATTAGAACATTCTCTAACATAACATACAAAAATAAATTCAAAATGGATTAAAGACCTGAATGTAAGACCAGATACTGCAAAACTCCTGGAGGAAAACATAGGACACTTGACGACATATTGCCACAATATATTTTTGGATCTGTCTCCTAAAACAAATTTAAAAAAAATAAACAAAAGGAACCTAATAAAAGCTTTTCCATAGAAAAGGAAACTATATACAAAACGAAAAGACAACCTACAGATACAGAAAATATTTGCAAATGATGCTATCAACAAGGGGTTAATTTCCAAAATACACAAACAATTCATAAGGCTTAATAAAAAAAAAAAACTCAATCAAAAAAATAAGCAGAGTACCTAAACAGATATCTCTCCAAAGAAGACATACAGAGGGCCAACAGGCACATGAAAAGATTCTCAATATCACTAATTATTAGAGAAATCAAATCTACAATGAGGTATCACCTCATACCAGTTGGAATGGCTATCATTAAAAAGTCTACAAATAATAAATGCTAGAGAGGGTGTGGAGAAAAAGGAACCCTCCTACATGGCTGGTGGGAATGTAAATTGGTGCAGCCACTATGAAGAATAATACGAGGAAGGAAGTGAAAGTTGCTCAGTCGTGTCTGACTCTTTGCAACCCCATGGACTATACAGTCCATAGAATTCTCCACTCCAGAAGGGATCTTCCCAACCCAGGGATTGAACCCAGGTCTCCAGCATTGCAGGTGGACTCTTTACCAGCTGAGCCACCAGACAAGCCCAAGAATACTGGAGTGGGTAGTCTATCCCTTCTCCAGGGGATCTTCCCGACCTAGGAATTGAACTGGGGTCCCCTGCATTGCAGGCAGATTCTCTACCAACTGAGCTATCAGGGAACCCCTAGAGAACAGTATAAAGGTTCCTTAAAAAAGTTAAAACTTCAGTTACCATATGATCCAGGAACCCCAATCATGGGCATATATCTGGAGAAAACTATAATTCAAAAAGATTGAGGCACCCCAATGTTCACTGCAGCACAATTTATAATAGTCAAAAGATGGAAGAAACTTAAATGTCCAAAGACAAATGGATAAAGAAGACGTGGTATATACGCACAATGGAATATTATTCAATCATAAAGAAGCACGAAATAATGCCATTTGCAGCAACATGGATGAACCTAGAGATTGTTATATTAAGTGAAGTAAGTCAGACAAAGACAAATATCAAATATCACTCAGATGTAGAGTCTAACAAAATGATATAAATGAACTCACTTACAAAACAAATCCATGTATTAACAGAAAACAAATGTACGGGCTGCCAGAGAAAACAGCAGGGTGGTGGGGGAGGGGAGGGCAGACAGAGAAATTAGGAGTCTGGGATTAACATACATACACTATTGTGTATAAAATAAATAGACAAGGACCTTTACAAGTACTAATCAGAACAGCTAAATTCCGTGATTATGCACTGCCTACAGCTGCTTTCATGCTGTAATGGCATTGATGAGTGGTTGCAACAGAGACCAGACAGCACAAAAGGCCTAAAATATTTACTATTGGGTTTTTTCATAAGAAATGCGTTGATCTGTATTCTAGGACAATAAAAACAAACTAAAAATACTATGCTACAGAAATGTTAAAATAGATGGTGCATATGGAGCAAGATAAGCAAGTTAACTGGTTTCTATCCATCAATAAATTCAAAGCAACTGACAAACATATGGCTGTGTTTCGTTTACACCAAACTTAAGCATTTAAAAACCGAAAGTGTCCTTAGAGGTAATAAGTTAGAATAAAGTTTTCTTCCAAATGGAAGTACAAATATAAGAAGTTACATGAATGGTTTATACCTAACGAACTTACCATCATCACTTCTGGTATACTTCAAGCAATTCATTAAGGCATTGCATTCAGTCATAAGCAAAGCATTTTTCTGATATAAATCATATTGCAAAGTATATCTGACAAATATCTACATAAAAGGAACTGTGAAAATACCATGAAGAATACATAAAGAAAACAACAAGGTCCTACTATATATAGCACAGAGACCTATTAATATATTCAATATCATATGATAAAATCATAATGGAAAAGAATATTCTAAAAAAAGAATGTATATATATAAGTGAATCACTATGCTGTATGGCAGAAATTAACACAATGCTGCAAATCAACTATACTTCAACAAAAAGTATTGATTAAATGGGGAAAAAAAAGAATTCATAAAGGATAAGACAGAATCTAATTGAGTAGAAAAGTCATTTCTAAGGCTTATAAAGAGCAGAGTTAAGTATACTTCACTATAATTCCTATATTTCTTTAAATTTTATGTCAATAAAATCAACTTCTTTGTCCACTTATAACCTATACAAATTGAAAAATTAAAAAAATGTATTACCTGAATTGTATGTTCACTAAATGAGGCTGGGAGCCATCTGATTGCCAGTAAGTTTCTAGATTGTCATCTCGTAACTGATCCACTCCAAATCCTAAAATCACAAGTGACAATGAATTCTCATGAAAAAAGAAGAGCCATATATTCAAAACATAAAACTACTATATATATTTGTCCAGAAAGTTTGATAAAGAGGATGGTGAGTACTGTGAAATTTAAATTAACCAAAGTTCTCCCATCCTCTTAACCAACCCTCAATTCTTAGAAGCATAAAAAATTAATAAACAGAAATCTCAATTAAACAGAGTTGGGAGACCAGACGGGGAGTTCTGGTACCCTGTGACCGTAACAGAACCAAAACGAAAAAGACAGACTCCTCTCCTTTCCTGGCAAGGACTCAGTCAGTGAAAAGCCATGGGCTTTTTGTTTATTAAAGCTCTCCCACTTCTTTTTCCTCCCTACAAAAGGGTGCTACTTCCCTTCATTGTGGGAAATGCACATGGTTTACTGTGGTTGCAGACCCTGAATTGCAATCATCTGCTGGTCCTAAGCAAACCCATCTTTGCTGGAGAAATACATGGCAGAATATTTATGTCAGAACAAATATTCTGAAATATTTTTTCTGAGAAGTGGCTCAAAGGTTCAGGACTGGTGAGCAAACAGGTGCAATACCCACAGTGAACCCACTCACTGTTTTCTCCATGACCCTGGAGTATGAAAGTAAGTCTTTCTCTTGGATTCTGAGCACATGCCCTCTTTGCATTTGAAGCTCTCCAGGCTTTATTCGGGATCTATCTTAAGGTTTCATCTCTTTAGTTACGGTTTAATCTCTTCAGTTAAGGCTTCATCTCTTCAGTTAAGGCTTTGTTTTGTATACAAGTATTCATTTGGCAGGTCACTCTAATTTTGAGATCAGAATGTTTCAACCAAAGCTGGCTGAAAATACCTTTGACCCATTCATTTGGGAACAGGGGCTGTTTCCCTGAAACTGTTCCAGTTTTCTTCATCCTACTCCTTTGGAAAGGGCTCTCCTCTGGAAACTGGCTTAAAAAAAACATCTTTGGCCTGCCTCCTCCAAACCAAGTTGTCTCCTTCAAACTGGCTGGAATTAGCCTGCAAGTTGTTTGAATTGAGCTGTCTGTGCTGTAAGCTGTTTGGAAATTGTTCTTTTACTCCAGAGAAAATCTTCAGAGAAATGAGATCCTAGTTATCTAAACATTTTGAGTGTGCCCGCCCCCTAGGACGACTCCAGATGATTTTATGTTTAAAAGCCGAAGTCCTTCCTCAGGCACATTTCTAACTAAATGGACCAACCTGACCAAAGGCAATTTAGAATATCAATGGCGATTACAGAGAACTTTTGAAATTCCTAATTTAATTTCCTTAGAGCTGAATTGGACTACAATAGCTCAAAAATTTCCAGAACTGAGTGTAATGCTTATTTTGATTGGTATTTTGAGGCTCTGCAACATTATCAAATTTTAAGATGAACTGAGGCAAACAAATGATTAAAGAAAGATAAAATGGCTGCTGAAGCCTCAGGCTCTTCTTCCCTGGCTGGTCGGAGATGCAGCACCATCTTATCACCCTCCCGCAGCTTCTGTGGCCAGACTCCACCTCTGTTCCATCTTCCTCTTTCTCTTCTGTGCTGAGGACACCTCCTCTGTTCCTTTAATTCCCCCACGCTAATTCTCTCGCCAACCTTCCCCTTGTCTTTTAAACTCTGCCAACTCCCTTTTCTTTAGAATTCATCAGAATGTTCCTCTTTAAGCCTCCTAAGGATCTAGAGGCTAAACCCTTAACTTCTTTTTTGGGGGGGAAAGAAGTATGTCTTCTCTTTATTTTGTTAAAATTTATTTTAATTGGAGGCTAATTTCTTTACAATATTGTGGTGGTTTTTGCCATACATTGACATGAATCAGTCATGGGTGTACATGTGTCCCCCATCCCAAACCCCCCTCCCACCTCCCTCCCCGTCCCATCCCTCAGCATCATCCCAGTGCTCCAGCCCTGAGCACCCTGCCTCATGCATCGAACCTAGACTGGTGATCTATTTCACATATGGTAATATACATTAAACCCTTAATTTCTTATATTCCCCGGACCAAAACTGAACTGCAACCCATACTCAAAAATGATCCCAAAGTAATTGAAGATTCTTACATACTCGCTAAGGAATTTAATACAGTCATTAAAACTTCCCAACATGGTTTCTCTGAGTCCTATCAACTAGTTCATAGATAATTGGTGAAGGCCAGGGCCAGCACTGAATGAAAACCACTAATTGGTAAAATCCTGAAAGGTCTCTAGAATTCCAACTGGGAGACCATCCTGCCAACTTATTATGTGACCAGCCTCAAGCAACCGACAGACAGCTTCACTGAGCAGTTCCTGGGGCTTTTCCAAAGCCTGTTGATTGGAACAAAACTCAGACTTGCATACAAAAATCTGATGAACCTGCTTATATTATTATAACCAACTTCTAATTGTTTCTGAAGAAAATCCTGGCCTTCTATCTGAATGCTGATCCCACTCAGGTCACCTCTACTTGTTTATTAATGGGCTGATTCTTTCCCCCTTAGAATGGGGAACTGTGTTCACTCCAGATACAGTTAATCTGGTGAGCCAGTTCTCTTGCATTTTACATGAGTCATCTCAAAGGAAGACTGCCTAAATTCTTAATTTTCAATTCTAGCAAATGAAGGCTCCTAAACAGAACCAAAATCCTCCTAGCTTCTGCTACTCTTACAAAGAGTTACGACACTGGAAAAAAAGACTATTCCAAATTTAAGCGCTTTAGGTGCTTTCCGCCCTCTAATCAGCCAGTGTCCTCCCAATTTTCAGTGATAGGGTCTAAGGAGCTACAGGGACTCTTCTCAATCCTCTCAGTTAGTCCAGAGAAACATTTCTCCAGAATGGGAAGGGATCTCTTCCAGTCCTGACTGTGGAGCCACTCTCTATACCCCACTACTATAAAACAGCCCCCGTCCCTGAGAACTAATAAAACAGTGCAAGTAGTGGGGATCTCTGGTCGCCCTCAGGAGGTTCCTATCTCTGAACTTCTCCCTTCTGTCTAGGCCCTTTGAAGAGTTAAGACTTTTTTTTCCCTCAGTTCTTCCACCACTATTCATTCATTAGGGGCCGAGACTTCTTAGAGCGTTATCATGCCAGAATTTCTTTCTTCCAAAAGGGAAAAATTATTAGAAACTGACAGCAGTCATCAAAATAACAAACTAGATGAATTAAATGACCCTTTGACATCTTTCGTTTGCTCCATCTCTGATGGTACTAGAGCAGATTTCAGAAACACCGATCATTTTGTCCCTATTAAATCAACTACTACCCTGGCCAGTTCCAAATAGGAAAAGGAGTACGTCAAGGCTGTATGTTGTCACCCTGCTTATTTAACTTATATGCAGAGTACATGATGAGAAATGCTGGGCTGGAGGAAGCACAAGGTGGAATCAAGATTGCCGGGAGAAATATCAATAACCTCAGATATGCAGATGACACCACCCCAAGGCAGAAAGTAAAGAGGAACTAAACAGCCTCTTGATGAAAGTGAAAGAGGAGAGTGAAAAAGTTGGCTTAAAGCTCAACATTCAGAAAACTAAGATCATGGCATCCAGTCCCATCACTTCATGGCAGATAGATGGGGAACAGTGGCTGACTTTATTTTTCTGGGCTCCAAAATCACTGCAGATGGTGACTGCAGCCATGAAATTAGACACTTACTCTTTGGAAGGAAAGTTGTGACCTACCTAGACAGCATATTAAAAAGCAGAGACATTACTTTGCCAACAAAGGTCAAGGCTATAGTTTTTCCACTGGTCATGTATGGATGTGAGAGTTGGACCGTAAACAAAGCTCAGTGCCAAAGAATTGATGCTTTTGAACTGTGGTGTTGGAGAAGACTTTTGAGAGTCCCTTGGACTGCAAGGGGATCCAACCAGTCCATCCTAAAGGAGATTAGTCCTGGGTGTTCATTGGAAGGACTGATGTTGAAGCTGAAGCTCCAATACTTTGGCCACCTGATTCACAAAGCTGACCCACTGGAAAGGACCCTGATGCTGGGAAAGATTGAGGGCAGGAGGAGAAGGGGAAGACAGAGGATGCGATGGATGGCATCACCGACTCGATGGACATGGGATTGGGTAGACTCTGGGAGTTGGTGGACAGGGAGGCCTGGCGTGCTGCAGTTTCATGGGATCACAAAGAGTCGGACACAGCTGAGCTGAACTGAACTGAACTGAACCCTCCTTACGGGCAAAATCTTCAACTGATACTGACAAAATTCGCAGCACATCTCCCATCAAGATTCAAACAACTCCTCAAAACCTCTTCCTAGAGTTAATCAATACCTTATAAGTAAAAACCTCCTTCAAGGCATAAAACCAATACTACAAGATTACAAGGTTCAAGGCCTCATTATCCCTGTACTACCCCCATTTTACCGGTAGAGGTTTGTCCAGGACCTACCAGCAATAAGCAACACTGCTATTTATCCCTGGACACCTTGCTGTTTCTAATCTTCATATGTTACCAACAGCCATCCCTCAGGAATAAATTCTTTACCTGTAACTGATTTATTCAGTGTATTCTTTAGTACTCCAGTTGATGAAGTGAGCCAATACCTTTTTGCCTTCAGTTGGGAAGAAATACAAGTCAACTAGATAATAAAGCCTCAAGGTTTTACTGAGGGTTCTTCTTTTTTTCTCACAAATCCCAAAGGCTGGTCTGGATGACATAAAATTCCCTGGGGGTTCTGTCTACTTTGTTGCAACATGTGAATGATTTGCTTCTTTGCTCTCCTTCTCAAGATTTCACACAGGAAAACAGCCACCACTTAAAGCTCTCAGCCTTACACCCTGTGGCAGAGGGATACTCCCCACTTGCCTTAGAGCCATTACAGCCACTGCCCTTTTGGTTAACGTCACCAAAAAAATCATTGTGGAATCCCCTTTCATGCCTGATGCAGTAGAAGCTCTCCTGAATTCTCATATTCAACATTTCTCAATCAGCTGCCTCACTCCTAAAAAGTCCTTTGTACACTGTTCCTCACACAACTCTCTTACACTGTAAAAGCCTGAACCC